GTAAGAATCTCGACTATTCAATGGAAATCCAAAATAAATCCAATTACTTTGAAACTTTAAACACTTGTTGCTTTATTCAAAATTCTAACTCCTGATTTCAAGTTTAAACAAAACTAAACCATTATAAGTTCAGTAGTACCTCAAACAAACCTGAATCAATCATTTAATTTGAATTAAATCTGTACATATCTATTACAAATAATAAATTTTCAAATTAAAACTGTAATTTTAAATCCTCAAATCCATCAACGGGGTAAATCTGAATCGATAGAACTCAAATACTATTTTATCTCTACAATCTTATAGTATTCAATTTTTAAAACCCAATGCTTGATACAAAACCTAATTCTTAAATTTGCCCTATTCTCTGAAAGAATCCTGCTATTAGATCATGATAAGTAGATCTTAAAGTGTTAATTAAATTAATAACAAGATCTAATTATATAATAAAAATCCATAAAAGGTCCACATGTCTAGATTTCATTGAAAATAAATACATTAATGAGTTATAAGTTTTTCACTTTAGAAAATATTCATGGAAAGAGTTTTGTGAAAGGGAGTGATGACTTTGATTCCCAAAATAAGCTTAAAAGTTAAAACTTACTTGCAAAAATGGCGGAAGGCGATGTCTCTGCCTCACTCGACTGAAACCGACGCGGATGAGGGAATGAATTTGCTGTGTATTTTTGAGTGTAAAGCTAAACCTTATGAAAATGGCCTGGAAGTATATGGGGTTAGGGGAAATGTTAATTGAATGCACGTGGCCTAATTGTTAAGTGCGTGTTTGGATAAGCAAAATATCGATTATAAAAGCTTAAACCATGGTTTTGTAAAAAAACAAAAAAAAAAAAAAAACAAAAAACTCAAACACCTTTTATTTTTCAATATCACGTTTTTTTTTGAATTGAAGGCCATGGGTAAACCGTGCTAATTGACAAAATGAGTCATATCAACGTACAAGATATTACAACAACCAAGCGGCAAGATATCAAAGATACGAATACATAAATTGTCGGTGTAAGTTTGATGAGATAACTAATCGGCACATTTGTTTGCCTTCCTGAAAATGTGGTCGAACGTGATTGTCCAATCTCACATATAGTGAGGTCTCTAATTCTATTGATGATAGTATTGAGTGGGTGGATAGTAGAGAATTTATTGTGGATTAGCGAGAAAGCTTTTGTAGAGTCAGTGTAGATATTAACTTTCTCAAACTTCTCAGCCCAACAAATGTTTAAACCTTCCAAGATGCCTATGAGTTCGGCTGCTGTACTTGGGTAATAACCAAGGTATTTGGAGTAACCTTTGATTTAATTTCCTTAGTTGTTTTGGATAAGACCCTTGCATTTAGCTGCACCATGAATGTTGATAGAGTCATCAGTATCCAATCTAACCCAACCTTCTTTAGGAGCAGACCATATAGGTGTTGCTTTATCACCCTTCTAAGTTAGGAAGTTAATTTTATTTTGAAGATATTGATCTCTAAAATCATCTTGGATGCTGGTAAAAGTAATGTCTCTATCTCGGGTGTCTTCTTCCAATGTCAATTTTTGCACCTTTCTTTTCAAATGTTCCAACACATGTGGGCATAAAGTTTTTGTCAAGAGATTTTCCTTGCACAAGCGTTACCTTCATCATTCCTTGCATTCCAAATTATCCAAATTACCTGCATCAATACCATGCGCGTTCTGCACTGCAAATTCTGTTTTCAAGTAAGCTGACTTTTTGAGATTTCGCGTGTCAATTATATCTGCTGGGCCATTACCAGGTATACCCTTCTCTTCATTGGGTAGCTCTTAATTGTATAAAAAAATATATTATGCTTAAAAAAAATCAGTTTAAAGATGTTTCTTTTCTTTTTTTTTTTTAAATTTTTGAGAACGTACAAAAAGTGAAAACAGTTTTGAATCTAAAACACTAATTACCTAAACAAGTTTTATTTTTTATTTTTTTTACTCTTTTGTTTTTAAAAACTGAAAGCAAACACGTACGCCTTAGGTATCTATTAAATTTATATATTTGAATCTAAAGCCCTTGGCCAAAAAAATCTAATTAATGAACCCTGTTTGAACAAATATTGTAATTTATTGGGTTGGCAAAAAAGATATTGTAATTTATAATTCATTAGAGTATTTATTGCTTGATAAATTGATGATTATTCTTAACAAATTCGACGACATAATCGATACTCTTCTCAAATTTATCGCCAGGTGATTTACTTTATATACAAAACTTATCCCTCGTCGGTTCCAATTCCTTATGCCTCTGCAAGGATCAAAACGGTACGCCAAAGCCCTCCTTTCTTCTTCATCAGTCTTTTCTCTTTCACACATCGCGATCGTGACGTTTCTAGTTTGTTGTGTTGCTGAGTAGTTCTTTTATATTGTTATTAAATATAGTTATATTAAAGCATGCATTTTCAAGAACCGACGTAGCATTTGATTCAAAGTCAGATAACAGTTCATGTTTTACTTGACAACTAGTTATAGATTTCTTATGTACAGTTCCAAAATTTCTGTTCTTGGATGAAGTTTCTTCAAGAAAGCTATCTTTTTGTATTGGTTACAGAAAGCTATAATTTTTAACCGAATGAAAATGGAGGAAAAAAAGAACTGGTCCGATCTGCATTCCGATCTTGCCTCGACAATCTCAGAACAATTAGGGCTAATTGATCTTCTCAGTTTTCGTGGTGTCTGTCATTACTGGAGATCATCTTCTTCACATGCTTCAGCCGAAATCGAATCCTCAATACCCAAACCTTGGTTCTTGTTATACGGTGAAGCTGCTCAATGTTCCTTATTAACCAACAACGATAGAATCTACAAGATTGAGATTCCTGAGATGGCTGAATCGACATGTCTCGCTTCTTTCGTTGGATGGCTTCTTCTGTACTGCAAGAATGACGATTCACTCTTCTTCTTCTGCCCATTTTCTAGGGCAAGAATTGAAATCCCTCGATGTCCATTAACCTCAGAACAATCAGAATCAGAATCAGACCACCTTTTTGCAGCATTTTCATCTTACCCTACGAATCCAGATTGTACTGTAGTAGCCATCAAGCGCAAGGATAAAGAAACACTGAAACTTTGTAGGCTTCGTCGTGGTGAATCTGAATGGACCTTTCATGAGCATATATGCCCAATCGCATTTCTTGATAGGATAAAAAGTAGTGCACTTTATAAAAGAGCTTTTCACTTCTTGGCTGAATCATCAAGAGTATTAGTGTCATTTGAATATGATACGATGAAATGGTTGAATTATATGCTTAGCCCAACTAGAAACCCAAAGATAGATACTGCTGAAAAATTGGACTACTGGGTGGATAAGAATTGGGCCAAGAAGGAATCTTTCTCTTCAATGTCTGATAAGATGAAGAACCTTCTTGGAATTGAAGATCCTTGTTCTATATCAATATGTGGGGCTATGATTCTTAGAGGTGATGCTAATGATCGTGTGATTCCGCATGAAGTTCTTGAGGACGATCAGTACAAGGAATCTATGCTACGTAGGGAATTGAAAGGTGTATGGCTCCAACCAAGATTCCATCAAATATCACAAGATCAAAGATGGTGATGATGAAGAACTTGCATATATAGTAGTTTTTTAATAAACCTGGATCATCATCTCTGTATACAGTTTATTGATCAGTTTTGAAGTGAACTTGATAATTTTGCCTAGTGTTAGATGTTTTGATTTGAATATTTGAGGTTAATCAGGATTTCCTTTTGGTCTGATCTACTGGCACATTTTGGAGATATTTCTCATTCCTTGATCTAAAATTTGTTTCTCTTTTTTTAGACTTCTGATCTAATGTTTAGTTGAATTGCCAATGATGAGTTTATCTTTTGTTGAAAGGAGTAGGATTTACATCAGGATGAAAATCTGAAATATGAACTAACAAAGACATATATATTTGCTTACAACTTTTGAGAGATCAAAAATCTTTTTTAGGAACTTTCAAGCTGTTTGAGTAATTGTTTTACTTCAGAAAGTTTATTTGCAATGTTTTGAAAATGATCCATTTTTCATAAGCTGATTTGGATTACTTTCAAAAGTTACTTTTAATGTTTAAACAGTTTTCAATTACTTTCCAATGATGAAAACTGATCTTGATTACATTTCAAATAATTTTTAGTTTGTGGAAACTTGTTAAAAAATATATTTAAACATTAAATTTCATTACAATGGTTAATTTTTACTAATTTGATATTTCGTAGAATAACTTTTGATAATAATAGTAGGTTGGAAAATAAGAGTCTGCCCATCATCTCATATTTTTCAATAAAATTGAATAATTGAAAATTTAAAAAAGTATGATTTTTGAAAAGGTTATAATTATTGACTACCTTTAACTAAGCTTTTTAATTCAAGAGATTCACGCGAAAATGAGCTTATATTTGGTTAGGACTGAAATGGCTGATGGATAAATAAATCCTGTACTCTAATCCTAAAAATTGTGTCCCTTTAAAATTCGAATACCATGCGTATTTCATGTAGAATTTATTATAGTTTAATTTCAATTCATGAATTAAACTAGGATAAACGTAAAGGGATTACATTTTAAAAAAATTAAAAAATTATGGTCAATTAAAAAAATGATGATAAAATGTTTTTAAATTATATAAATGACAATTTATTTTTTCAAAATACTATAATTTTATTAAAAATTTTAAGAATTTTTATATTAATAAATTTTAAATTAAAATATTATTTTATTTTTTATTAAAAATAATAAGTCTATTAAAATTTATTAATATAGAGGTTTCTAAAAATTTTAGTAACATTGTAACATTTTGAAGAATTAAATCATATTTATATAATTTTAAAAAAAATTTAAGATTAATTTTTATTAAAAAAATTTATTATTAATTTTTTTAAAAAATTTGTCATTAAATAAATTACACTTACAATTACATTACCAAAAAAAAAGTAAAAAAAAAAAAAAAAACACACACACACACACTCTCTTGAGGATAAGACGTTGGGATGACAGAGAGGAGCGAGACAGGCCAAAGGCAGAACAAGATAATGGCTTCTTCGACAATGGCGTTAACGCTGTCTCCTTCGGTAACCCGTGGAGGCATGAGTGCTCGAAGTCCTTCAGCTTCCCTTACATTCCTTACTGGTTCTTCCAGACACAGGTCGCTGTCCTTGAATGTTTCCCACAATTCCTCTGCCTATCGTTCTTCGCTACTTCACTGCTCCTTCCTCTGCTCTTCTCCGTCTCTCTCTTTCCCCTCTTCTGTTTCCGGTAATTATGCATAATCGTGTTTCTTTTCCTCTTAATGTAATTGTTTCCGAAGCCTACTGTGACTTGTGCTTTAATTTTTCTCTCAGTTCGGTTCAATTGAAATTTCAAATCTTTATAGCAATTTCGGAGGGGCTTGCTGTGTTAATAGGTGCAAATTAAAAAAAAAATGAATTGAGCAGGTTCTCATATGCGAAAAAACATTAGTAATTATTTTTTAGACATAGTTCTGTGAGAATAGAGGGCAGTGAGAGATGATAGAGGTGGTTTGACGAAAGAAGTGAACACAACTGATTTAAACATTCTCTGAACCCTTGTTTTACTCTATTTTTACACTGCTAAATTGCTAACTGAATAATTCCTATTTTATCTCTGAGGTAGATGTCAACGAGGAACAGGAGAATGACAAAGTGTGTTATGGTTTTACTCTATTAACAGTGAATACTTCACAGAAACGTGATTGATGTTCTGGTTTTTCTGCTCTTGTCATGCTTAATCAGTTAATTAGTCATTACTTTTTCACATTTGGTTTACGCCTCTCTCAGCTAACTAACAAATATGAATGAGAAGGAGCCTGTGTTGTTATGTATGATACGTAGAATTTTGTTTTATTTTGTTATTTTCTGACCTTTTGGCATTCTTAGTTATTTGTGATTTCAAGAAATGTATAACGAAGAGCTCTCTTCAGATTAGGGTTGACTTTACTCGGAGCTGATTTTCAATTTTCAGGCATATCACTGGGTCTGGATTTTAAACCTGATGTTGGTAATAGAAGGGGAAATGGTGGCAGGCTAGTTGTTAGGGCAGGCAAAGCTGCTCTTTGTATGACCAAGAGGAACAGATCACGCAAATCACTGGCACGGACTCATGGTTTTCGCAGACGGATGAGGACTACAAGTGGAAGAGCAGTACTTAAGCGCCGACGTGCCAAGGGACGGAAGGTCCTTTGCCCAAAGTCTAATCCAAATAGTGGCAAACGTGCTTAAGTTTATTCTATTTCATTAGGTAAAAGCTTTAATTCCCATGAACTTATTTAAATTCTGAGCCCCCGTTGAACTATTGGCTTTTGTAATCTCTATATCTCAAGAAAATTATCCTTTCTTATGACCAGATCTTGTTAATTGCTTGTTAGTTGTTCCAAAGCCGATTGCCACCAATCACCCTTACTGAAATGACTAAGTCAGTCGTTTTAGGCAATTAGTTGTGCGTGCATGATGTTCCTTATTATTGTTCTATTCGACTCGTAATCATTGGTCTTTACTCTTGTGTTTCTATTCTACATTATCTCATTGTTTACATTTGCACCTACATTTTATCTTTACGTGATCCATTTTAAACTCATTTGTCTATCACAAAGGGTCTGCTCTGTGTTAAAACCGAGGAATCATTTTTGAAAAGTGTCGGTACATTCCTTTACTTAAGATTCTACATCAGAGGGTACTACTACAGAATAAAGGTTTAAGACTCAACAATTATATTTCCCTCCTTTCCCCTATTTTAGTGGAGCGATCTTAATGTTGTTAGTGGTTAAGCCATTTGATACTTCACTCATGTTTATCTGCTTCATTTATAGTGGTTGGAGGTACAGCTGTGCCCCGAGATGTGCTATTTTTGTTGAGTTCTGATTAATCTTCACAGTTTACCCTCAACAGGTGGTATGATATTTTTTCCTTATTTTTCTGATTTGATGCAGTTGTTGTGGTAACTGCTAACCATTATGCTAATAGGGATTATCAGAGGCACTGTGGATAGTAATGTTTTGAGAACCAAATCAGTTGTTGAATTGTTGGAGACTTTGGTTAAAAGTTTATTTGTCTGATTGTAGTTGAACTATGGTCAAATTGATCATGATTAATTTAATATAGTTGTATTTTATGTGAATATAATCATATAAAAAATAAAAGACCAGTTTTTACTGGGTTTTTTTTTTTTTCATCAGTTTTCAATAGCTTAATTCTTGGGCTGGTCAGGACCTAACCAAAATATATAGTTCACTGGCTCACTTGTCTAACCAGTCTGTCTGATTCAATTTGTGTTTATAACCATGATGGCCAATGTGAATCTGGAGTCGTGTCTTCTAGGATTGTTTTGGTGTCTATTGACTTAGTAATGTCTATGATGAAAAACATGTCATGAGGCTAGAATTGAGTTAATCCTTTTTTTTCTGATGAGACAAGAAAATTTTCCTTTTCTGATAATAAATTTGTATCTGAAATCTGAATTATTTAGATGCAGTGATCTTAGTTAGATTGCCACCTTATATCCTGCATTAGAGAATATTGATCATTAACTCAATAAAATGATTGATGTTTAGGTTGAACTTTTCTGCAAAATACCAGTTCCTTGGATAGATGCAGCTGTTTCTTCTTCTGTTCTGTCCATTCATGCATATCTTCTGCAAACTGAACAATAATAATATATTAAGATAACGTTGGAAGATGGCTAACTTGGCTGAAATGCCCAATTCAAGATCTAGTATTGTGGTTATTCTTAAATCATGAACGCCATTATTCTAGATACTTAAAGCAGACTTGTGGTTGTTGTTTTGACAAACTGTGATGCATGACTCATTTATTATCTTTCATATCTTGGGAGTGTCAGTGTTGAGGATTTTTTATTGCATATCACCTTATGAATGGTGCTCTTCAGGTACTTCTAAAAGTCAGAAAACTAAATTTAAGTCATTAATGGATTGGATTGCAAATAGATTCAGAGAAACTATGATGATTATTATTTATTTATTATTTTGAAAATACAACCCAGAAAGAAATTAAGAAAACAACTCATGCAATGTGGATCTCATACTCTCTTCAGGCCTAGGAATTAGAGTGAGCCCAACTCAGGGCAATGTCTAAATTATTCAAGTTGAGTTTCAGACGGGTGTATTATTATGCTACAAATTGAACTCCTAAATTTATACAAGTTTTTATGTCTGAAGACTTTTCATTGATACTGGTCAAGATACACAAGTTGGTGAGATTTCCACCTAAGGCCATCATTTGCAATTTTCTTTCCTACTAAATGATGTCATCATTTTAGAACTAATGAACATTGAAAAGTCCAAAAAAAGTCTAAAAAGAAAAGGGTGGAAAAGAAAGCTCAATCAGTAAGGCAAACTCTTGGAACTTGTACTGATTATTAAAGAATTGAACTTAGAGAAGATTCTCCAGCCGCAATATTTGCTCTCTCAGTAATTATTTCCATATTCCTATGTAAACTTTCCTTGACCAAACTCGTCATCATTCTCTTCCCTTCCCTTGCCTCCATTTGATTCAGAGGTGAACCCATGGAAAAGGTTTTCTTGATGTTTGTGGGCCAGAATGTGGGCCCATTCTCACCTGCCTTCATCCTTAAACCATTGCAACAGTTTTGAAGCTCTCTTCTGAGCCAAAGTGCTTCCCAATAAAACCACTTCAAGAAGCACATGAACAATCCCTGCCTTGGCCATCTTCTGTCTCTGTGATGAGCTTTGATGAGCAAGAATCATCAGAATATAAGTTGAAATCTCTTGACATTTTGGCTTATCTTCCCATGACAAGATCTCAATCAAGCTCTCTGGTACCATTGAGCTCTCTTCTATTGCTTTCTTCCCCATCAATGTCACAATTAAGTTCCCAAGTGAGGCCAGTGCTCTCTCTGAAGTTGTTTTTCTGATGAAAGTTCTAGAAGTATGGGAATAAACCCACTAGAAACTAAAGGCCCTGCATTCTCTAAAATAGCCGAGAGATTGAATGGCTCCTAGACATGACTGTTTGGTATCAAAGCTTGAGTTTGACTGAAGAATGTCTCTGAGAAATGGGAGTAAGTCCAGTGATGAAAAAAGGGTACTGTGTCGGTTGCTAAAGATGATAATGACAGAAGCAACTCTGAAATTTGACTTCT